AGTGTTATTCAACTGAGTCTCAAGGCTTAGCAAGATTAACTGAATCAACTTATCACTTCCAAAACATATTCCATCATTTTACCCCTATGCAAAATGGAAGATTTTTGGTTTTCCACTTCAGGTTTAGGCCATCCAGACCCAGTTGCAACAGGACTTTGATATTATAATCCAGCATTTCCTAATAAGATAACGAAGGTGGCCAGATGGARTAGCCATTACTTTCTTGTATGCTATGTTAGTTTATGAATACCTTCCTACCATGGAAAGAAGGAAAAGAGAGGAATGTACTAGACAGCTGGAAATCTAAAACTGTAATCTCTAAAAGATAATCATATGCTATGAAATAATCTGCACAGATTACTTGCAGGTGAACAAAGATCAACAGAATGGATTATGCTCTAAATTTCTTTGAAAGGATAGAGCTTTACCAGCTTCARCAATGGTGATGATTATGTCATGTTTAGTTTTTTTAGCTATGGTATATGACGTGGAACAAAACCTAGATGTTGCAAAATTGGTGATATTAGAATTTTTGTATTTTGGGTCACAGTGGGTTGGCCACTGTGTTAATGTCAGAAACAAGTAAAATTCACCTTTAACCATGCACACAGCGGAACAATTAAAGTACCAACCAGAAGACAAAATACTTTCCAAGCACCTTTGAAATTAGATGAAAACTACAGTCTACTGTCACTCACAATACCTGTTGTCGCATACCTGTTGTCTAAGTCTTTCAAAACATAAWGGCTGCAAATATCAGGCTTACTAAGAACCCAGTCTACTACTGTTCAAATTTTTGCAGGAGATTAGCATGCACAGTATACCTCACATATTTATCTTCCTGTGACAGGCAATCTGGCTTTAATTTCCCAAGTCTCTTTGTACTTCCATTTATGACCAGACAGTTTCCCTAAATCAACACCTTTCTGATATACTACAAACTGAAGAAGCATTAAAAAGTAACTAATAATTTTCTCTATTTCGATAAATAATGGAATCAAGTGATTGTTTTGTCCTTAAGGTTCTTGAGCAATAAATTAATATGAACAAAAAAAAAAAAAATTAGTATTCCAGTATCATTCAAATATTTTTATGATCCAATTCAAACTTAATAGTACAGATTCAGTTTTAGCTTTTGGTTATATCCCCACACTACTACTCTGCTGTATCATTTACCACCTGCAGCTGCAGCAGGATTTCAAACAATCACGAATGACAATGGGAAAATCCTCTGTAAAAACCTGTTTTTCCTTCCCTTGAGATACTGTCATTTAGAAGGAATGAAAGCACAATTTTAAAAGAAYATAAACCATTTATTCTACAAATATTTTACAGGGTGTGCTTGTTTTGGCTAGTGTAGAATTAATTTTCTTCACAGTGGCTTGTATGGAGCTGTGTTCAGCACAAACATAGATATTTTGTTAAAATAAAGAGATACTTTTGTTATTGCCGAGCAGGGCTTACATAGAACCAAGGTCTTGTGCCTTTCTTTTGGCAAGTAGACTGGGGGTGCCTGGCAAACTGGGAGGAGATACAGCTGRGATAGCTGATCCCAGCTGGGATACCCCACACCATATGACATCATGCTCAGTATATTAAGTAGGCAGAAGTAGGAGACGTTTGGAGTGATGGCATTTGTCTTCCCAAGTCAGTGTCATGTGTGATGGGGCCCTGCCCTCCCAGAGATAGCTTTACACCAGCCTGCTCATGGGAAGCAGTGAATTAACTCCTTGCTTTGTTTTGCTTGTGTGTGTGACCTTTTGCTGTCCTTATTAAACTATCTTTCTATCTATCTCAGCTTATGAGTTTTCTAMCTTTTACCCTTCCTATTATCTCCCCAATCCCACTAGACGGTGGGGGGAGTGAGCGAGAGACTGTGAGGCTTGGTTGCTGGCTGAGTAAAACCACAACACTCTGCTTCTAGTAAACCGAGGGAAGTGAAGAAATAGTTCATGTGTTTTTTTAAATCATAGTATTTAATCGATTGTACCAGGCTTAAAAGCTTACTGTAAAACAGTGCTTCAAACTATAAGGCACTAGCAAAGGAAACCACTGCTAACCTTCAGCAGTTAGGTAAATCTGTCCTGGAGGAATACCTGAAAAGCTGGCTTAATTGATCTTCAAGGAAGAACCAGAACCACACCAGCAATGCTCAGGTATAGAAATGAGCCAGGCTTTCGATCATTGCTTGCACTGAGAAAACTGGTGCTGCCACCTTTATTTGAAAAAAACAGACCAGTACCCTGATCTCTCGAAACATGATGATGAGAATACTTTATTCAGATAATAAGCGTTATTTTCAGTTCTTCCACTGGGAAAAAAAAAACCCCACATGGGTATTTAAAAAAATCCAAAGCTTTGGCATCTAGCCATGATGGAGAGCCAAAACTAATACGATTTCCAACAAACGCTGGAACGTACTTTGCAAAAGAGCTACAGTCCAGTGCGTGCCAACTGCTGGTGGCCTTCCACGAGAGCCAACTACACACTGCCCATTTTAGCCATCAGCCATTTCAACCCCAGGCAATGCACTGTCATTCTTTATCTCCACTTCTAGTTTTTGAGCATTTTGTAATTAATTATTTTTAATGTTGGATACATTAATTTCTTCTGASATGTTTTTATATGTCAAATTAAAGCATGCGCAGACCTTAACCATCTGTTAGTTTAAATGAAAGTAGCTATCTAGTCATGTAAATAGAAGCTACTTGAAARATAATGACAATTAGAGTGACTTTCACTCACACCCACAGACTTTACAGTTCAGATTYGAAGCTGTAAGAGGGTAAATAACTACCCTAAGCCAAAAATGCAGTACACGAGATTTAGAAAGCAAGAGCACCTTAGTTCAAATCATGACCCCAAGTTAATACCAGGAGTTATCTGGGGATCTACCAATCCCCACCCATGTTTTGACTACAGGAATAAAAAACAAAACTAAAAACTGCAAACCACTCAGGAATAAGCAGGYTTGTCCAAGAGATGATCAAAGTGATCCATATTTTATCAATGTTTTTGAAAACAGGYAAATACTTCAAAAAGGAAAATACTTTTAACTTACACAAGGCTATATATAAATATATACATATAGCCTGTAACTCCACTGAGCTTTTCACCAAGCTTTCAGGAGTGAGGATGATTACAGAGGGAGCCCACAAACTTTACTGACTGTAAGTAGCTAATCAAAGAGTACCTACCCAACCAATCAATGGTGTAGATTATATATTCAGCTGGCCTTTCTACAGAAAACTGAGCTGCAGCTGGATGAGGCTGTGTGAACATAGTCCAAAATTACATGTTTAGACAGGCAAAAGATATTTTCACAATGTAAACAGGAAAGTGTCTGGGTTGGATAAATCTGTCCAGTTGCTACTGCCCTTTGAAGTATGGATCCCATCCACAGCATCATTAATTAGTAAAGCAAAATTCCTGAAGTAAAAGGACCAAAATCTGAATAAAGTTTTCAAGGTTAAAAACTCTTATCTAGCTGACAAGCCTTTTCCTTACTAGAAGAGCTTGGCATTTCTGAACGCTAATGAGTGTGAGCAGTACAGGTTTGGAATAAGCATTCTCTATCCTTCCAAGCAGAGTGCTCACTGTGGAGACATGACAAACATAATGCTTTACTTCATGCAGGCTATTGTAGTCCTGGACAAGAGAAGCATCCAGAACCAAATCGAAAANAAAAAAAAAAAAAAAAAAAAAGAAAAAAAAATGGAAAAAAGAAAGTATTTCAAAGGAATCAGAAAGTACTAAATAGATTTCAAGTGTGAAACATTCGTTTAGCCTAGGAATACCCATGTCTCATCTCAGTTTGCAATGATAAACATAACAGGTTAATTTCATCACTTTTGCCTACATCCATTTGTTTTTGTAATTGAGTGCACAAAGAAAAAGATTAATTTGTGTTGACAGGAAGAAAATCAAATGTACATCATTCCTCCAAGTGAGCTGCCTGAACTGTAACAGTTTTCAAATACCCTTATAACAGCTGGAAACAGCAATTCTGTTGCACAACAAAAAGAAAGTGAAGAAACCCAGATTCATGTGTTTTCACTGATAACTAAACTAAGTGAAATGGCTTTCCACAGAATCCTCCTTCTGCTGACCAAAGGCTCACTGGTTCACCACACTGGTTCACACATGTGGTTGACCATTTCACCTCAAGCCCTGCTGGCTCAGGATGGAACTTCAGGGTCAGCTGAACAGAGATGAGGGAGGGCTACAACCAGAGGTAGTGGCTACTCACACCCACCCCATCCCTTACTAYTCACTCTCACCTGCTGCACTAGCACCCATAGTGGGCCACACCAGTGAAATAATCTGTCCTTTTGCATAGTACAGTCTGTACTATACAAAAGGAGCTATAATAGGCTGGAAAGACAAGCATAATATAGTATCAAATTGTGTTTTAAAGAATAAACCAAAACAGGAAACCTTAAATGCCTGCTTCCACTTTTTTTCCTCTTGAAGAAACTATCATGATGCCCTTCCTAACCTGAAATGCCATGAGGTATCATGATGATGTGAGGGGAAAGCTTATGCAGCACAGTCACATATGATAAACAGTGAAACTTATACCTAAAAAATGGCTCATTACTCACATTCATCAAATTTATCCTACTTAAAGTACTGCGTTTGCAGCAGAACCCATGTTCCAGGAACTACTGCCAGCCAAAGGCCATCTTCACCTGTCAGATAACCTCCAATYAGTGCAGTGTCTTGGTTTTTTGCATGAAAGTGTTGACAAACAAAACCACCAAAATCCTGCCTCCCCTTGACTCAGTGACAAACATTCCATTAGCTTCATCACAATGAGTTTTAACCCAAGTTACTCATAAACATCTGAAAACGCTTGTGGGGAAAAAAGTCGGAAAGGCCAAGTGCTATTGATGTAAACTCAGCAGAGTTGTTTGGCACAYGTGTAAGACCACAATGAATCAAAAACAGAAGCCAAAAAAAGTAAGGATAAAGCAAACACAAAATTAACAGCAGCTTACCTTTTGAGGCGGTGGTCCATGGTCATCCAGATAAGTGGAATTTCCTACAAAAAAAAAAGAATGATGGAGATAAATAAAAGCCATCCAATGCAACTTCCAGACTTTTCAATTCATAGAACCAGTGCATTCCTCTCCCATTGGTTTTGTGRTGTCAAATAACTCAAGGAAAATAAATTCCCTCTGCTTTAATTTTTGATTAACAAGTAATTTATTTTGATTACATTTGTAACACAGGACTAGATGCACATTGTCATTTCAGAAAAAAATTACAAGGCAGCTTTAATTAATCAATCAGTATTCAATTATTTGTATGACAAAAAATTGCCAGCTACATCTTGTACATTTTAAGCAAGTGAGCACAGTTAACCTCAAAAAGTCTTCTTAAATAATCAAGTATCAAAGGTTTATATTGGACTTTAGTGTGATGGAGCTGACAAGCATTCACTTATCTCTCCTCTAACTATTTTCCCCAACCTCCATGATACTTCTTTGTTCTTAAACAGTACTGATTGAATGGGAGTTGTATTCTGATGTAATTACACCTGCGTTTTCAAGACGTTCTTTTAATTCAGACAAAAAGCTTCAGGAAAAAAAAGCTTCCAAACAGCTACAATGAAAAAGGCAACCATTTCAGACTTTTTACCCATTCCTTACAAACACAGACGGATACATAAAATATACATTCCCACACACACATAGGCTGTCTTCCCTGTAACTGTGCTTCCTGAAMCCTTCTCCCAAAGCATTAATCACGTGCTTTCCCAACATGGTCCAGCAGATGAAGAAACCTTGCAACAAAGGTTCCTCCTTCAGACACACATGCCTCTCCACTCAGTCACCCTCCTACCAAAGACAGCAAAAATACTTCTGCTCTAACCTTACTTCATTWTGAGGTATGAGATTAATTTTTACAGGTTACTAGGCATCCAAAAGTCACATGGAAGAGGACTTTAAAATGCTTGTCCAGCTCATGAACATCTCTGCTCCTGGCATGGTGAATAGTCAACAGAAACTTCTTCTGAGGCAACACRGGCCAGTGGAATAAAGCATATTACACAAGCAAAGAGCTCATCTCTTGTCGATCTGGCCAAACCCCTCATTTTCCCAAGAGCCAAAAAACCCCTCCAGAGGTTTGTGGATCCAGGAGTCAGGAAGGAGATATTTGTGTGTGAGAGTTACAGTTACAGAACAAAGAGGTGGAGCTTTGGTGTGAAATATTCCAGTAAGCTGTGGGGGTTGGTTTCAGCAGGAAAAGCAGGGGGCTGGAAGTGGCAGGGCCCACCATCACCCCCTTGCCTGACTCTTAGGAGACGTAGCTGCCWCCTGGACCACACCATCTTGGGGACAGAAAGCCTGCTGGCCATCACTGCTGCTGCAGCATGATGGATTTCTAAGTACAATAAAAAGCTGGGATTACTTCTCAAAAGTATTTTGCTTTCTATTTATTCTCTGTTTTTCCAGCATATGTTATAAAGCCATAAAAACTTTAGTCAAAAGGCTTCAAACTCACCTAAAGCTAAGTCCCAATACCCATTGCACATTCTTTTACAGATACAAAAGTCTGATGGTCATCTTCTGAATAATCTTTTGAAGCATACCAGAAACTCATCTCTCTATACAATGGACACAAGTACCCATCCTTTGAACAATCCAGCTGCTCAATTTAATGCCGTAGATAATATGGTTGATGCCCTACATTCAGGATAATTTCTTTATTCATTCCTCTGATATGATTTTAATTGCCAGGGGTGTAATTCAGCTCCCAGACTGCCAGAAGAGTTGGCAGTCTGGCTTCCTGTAAGAGTAGCTACTCCACACACACAGAGATGGACCTGAAAATAAACATTTCTTCCTTCCAGTTAATCTGGGAAGAGAGCAAGGAAAGCTTCTCGTTCAGGATTTACCTTGCCTGTAGAATCAGGCTGTTACTGGTTCATAGCAGCTTTCTCCTCTTGGCAATTAAGCGTGCACAAAAGACCGACACTGCTGTTGATAAAAACATTTCTTATAGTTTCCTCACTGCATCAGGAAAATTGTTTCATTTTGATACATAACAAAACAAGTGATGTTTGCTGTTTAAACAAGTCAACACACTAAAAATGTCATAAACATTAAATGAAAACTGTAAATTAAAGAAAATAAAAAGCAAAACTTTCAGTTTCATAATTGGTATTAAGGTGGTTACAGGAGTAACAGTATTTTTTTGCTTGTCTCCTTAAACCATACGCAACTCATGCTTACCTAAATAAAAGGAATATTATCTACATGGATATTAGCTATCTTTAGCAATCACCTATCACAGCCAGTTTTGATGYAGAGAGGGATTTGAATCACCAGTCAAGAGTTTACACAGCATCTTATAGAGTAGCGTCAAGAGAACCAGAAACTTTTTTGAGGTATTCCTTAAAATGAAACAGTTTATAACTATTTTTACCTTTCTGTATTAGTAATCTATGCTCTTAGTATGCAGACTGCATTTTCCTTCCTTGGAAATTTTTTAATGATCAAAACTACATGAATATATCTCTAGCTTTGAACATTTGTCCTGTAGGTTTTAACTTCTGTAATCAAAGTACTGATTTTTTCACCAAACGGTGTGGTTACTACTGTATCCACTTGAAAGACAATAGTKCAATTATGGGCCATTAGATAAAGTTGTTTTCATGGCAGTTGCTTGCTCAAACTCAGAAGATACAAACTGACAGAMACTAACTGCCAGGCAAACACAAGCAATGAAGGAAACAGTACTGATTTGAAACCTGGTCAGAACAACTCATAAAGAGCAGAGGATGGAAAGCTGCAGGCAGTCCCCACACCCTTACATTGCCCCAATCTCCAAGTGCAGAGCTAGTTCCTGTCCCTTGCCACAGCTCCTCCTGCTTTTCAGGCACATGAACCAGAGTCAATCGTGGCGTCCACTGCTTGCCACATCAAATTAACAGTCTGAATTCTTTTGGCTTCAAGTTTTAAATGAGAATTTGYTTTCAGTAATAAAAGTAAAACCTTTTACTGCATGATTCATACCATACCCTAAGTAAAATACACTAAAATAACTTCACAAATCCAGCTGCAATGGAGTGCAAGAGCAGCCTGTGAGGTACCCCAGCCAGCTCCTTAACCCCATGAAGCCCAGCACATGTCCTCACTKGTGGAATTTGGCTTGCTTCTTATTCTGTCTGCAAGACAGGGGCCACACTACAGGAGCCTCAATGAATGCAGAAATATCATGAAAAATGTGCACCTGTGGGAGAATACTTCTGCAAAAGGCCTGAAGCAAAGATGAAGACTTCGTAACACCTGAGACCATGAAAATCTTAACAAGCATTGACTCCCAAGCTGGGTACTTACAAGTTTTATGAACATAAGACMGGGTGCCACTTTAACACCCAGGGCAGCTAGTTACTTTTCACACAATACACATCAGACTAGGTTAGTTTAAAAACAAAAGAAAAAGTCAGCATTATAAAAATTGCAACAGCAGAAAAGTACCAAGGTAAAGCCAATCTATAAATTACCACCTACCAACAGTTGACACAGTAGGAGAGTTGCACAGTAAAAATCAGGGACTTAGGAATGGGTACCATAAGCAGCAAAGGCACTGTACATAAGCTCAACTGTTTGCATTGCAACTGCATTAACAAGCTTATCTAAGAAGAAGAACATTATCATGAAGCTTTTATATGCTATGGCACRGACAACATGTGTTTGACATCACTAAATACCACAAGAACACAGGAAGCTTTCTGTGGTGGAAACAATAAAGTGATAGAAGAGATGGTCATCTTCCCGCTCTAGGAATCTTGTCCATTGCCCCAAAGCAACCTATGGCACTAAATTATTAGGATGACTTTTCTCAAGTCTTTTAATAAAGCTTTCATGAAGACATCATTGCTTTTGTCTATCAAGCAACAAGATTATTCTAGATTTATTTTTTTTTTCCTGGAGAGGAGTATTTACTCTTCAAAAAGGAAATTTTCTGCCTTCTTRTAATAGCATTAAAGTCTAAGGCATTAGAAACAAGTCAGACAAAATAATAAATTCTTAAAACAAGTGGTATTATGCATTCCACAAACATGCTCAACAGCACACTTGGGCTGGTTGAACGTGTGTCCTCCAGTGTCTGCCAGAGATAAAAAAAAACAAGAGGTCAGCTTTATTATAGAAAATGGTGAATACATGGAGGCAGTCCAAATCTTTCCATAATTTATTATCCTTGAGTTAAGTGAATCAGCTGTATGCAAAATCTTTGGGGAAACCTTGTGGTTATGTTCCTTTTTTCTTGGAATCATTGAAGTGTGGGGGTTTTGCTTGAAGCAAGCCAAGTTTAAACAGAGAAAGATGGCCAGTCAACCAGGATTAAGGACAAATGTTCAGAACTATAGATAAGAAAAGTAACTGCAATTCTGAAAAAAATGCAAACCTTTCCAAAAATGACTGAGGAGTACAGGAACAGGAAGCAAATGGACTTATATATGAACCGAAGAYCCTTTGATAGCAACTGAAGCAGGGTAACTCCACTTCAACAATTCAGATATCCCATGGATAGAATTGTGTAAAGATAAGGAGGGAAAGCCAATGTGGAAAATGTGGAGTTTGGACCATTTTTCTGAAGCAGGGTTTTCCCTTGTAGCAGTCTAAGAGCAGGGATCCATCCACTTCCAAATTTAATCTGTCTTGTGAAAATCGTTCTTTGTTCTTTTTCACTTGATCACTCTCTCAAACTTCCAGATGTCAATACAACCTCTAATGGCAAACAATCCCTTAGACCCACTGATGTCTAAAGGGAAGGAACAGTTTAATAGTTGTCTGAGGAGGCCTCTGGTCTGGAAATCAGACTTTCAAGAAAAATTTCCCTACCAAGCACCTCTAATCATTAAGAGCTACACCTTCAAAATAAACTGAAGTGCCAATGACTTATCAGAAGAGGATAAATTCTGCTCTGCCTCTGTGKTTTTTTTTTTTTTTTTYCCCTCCCAATCAAGCAATGGACATCTTTAGAAATTTCATAGATATTTACACATCTGAAATAATATAACATTGTTAG